GAAACCGCCAGGCAGAGGATGGATATGAAATCATTTACGTGTGCGGGTGACGCTGCCCTGGGTTGTGCAGGGAAATGTGTATATGCTGTTCAGTTGAAGTTGTGATTGTGGTACACCAGGGCAGGTGCTGAAGTGTGCATTTTTACACGAAAATAGGACTGGGTGAAAAGATACCGGATAAGAGCATTAAGAATGAGTATTGGCAAGGTGCTGGGTGAAGGCTGCCGATGCTTTTAGTGTCCCCGGCAGTGGAGCTGGGGACGTCAGAGGAGGGCAGCTATTTTGGGCTTCAGGTGCCCCAGTACATCCCATCATGTGCAAACAAGCTATACTGGTGTGAACTGGTGCATACAGCAAGGGAATTGATTCTCATTTAACTTCCTGCAAATTGAGGGAGTGAGTAAAACCTCCAGCATCCTGGGGAAGCTGAGTCAATCATTTCCTCTTACTGCCTGATGGTATTTTTAACGGTGCATTTATCCGGTGCCCGGGAGCCAAGGCGATTGCTATATATTTCTGTAGTCCTGGCATGACAAGCTGTGCAGTCACCCAGTGGGAGGACATGGCTCCTGGCTGGGGCGTGCAGAATCGCTCGGGCTCATCCTGGTGATGGCTGACCAGTGGCCTGGAGGCGGTTGGAGGGACAGAGAGCCAGCCGCGGAGCCAACCCGTCTGTGCCTTGGTGTTATCCAACCAGGCATCGGCCTCTGTTGGGGATGAGGGCCCTCTTCCCTCTGGCTCAGGGGATGCTGTGGGATGAAGCATGCAGAGACCCTGCTCAGGGCGCTTGGTGCAGATACTCTGCAGGCTGTGGTATGTGACTTGAGTACAGGTGCAGCGCATGGACATGGAAATGTTTGAATTAAGATGGGGAGCTGGCATCAGGGCAGGGAGCTGGTTTGGGGGTTAGAAAATTGGGCTGCAGGAAATGACTCAGTCTCTTCAGACCCAGTGCTGAAAGGCGTGTAGAAACCTAGCTCTTATGTCTTCCTGAATTTGGGTCTGTGCTGCCCGCCCATCGGAGAGGAGATAATCCAATCAATCCAAACATCCTTGGGCAGGGACCAGTTCCAGTGAGCGCAGCTGGGTCCTGATCTCTGCTGACATTAGCATAAAGCAGGTTGTTTCAGTTGACAGGATTGTCTAGCTCTCAGATATACTCTCCCTTGGGGAGAGGTGTTGCATTGCCCTGTGGGGAGCAACTAGCAGAGGTTGGATTTGCTTTCTCACCTCCATCCTTGCAGGATGAATCCTGGCTGCTTGGCCAGGCACCAAAGGTGCTTTCTTCTGTTTCCTGCGAATGTAGGAATTCACAGTAAATTAAGCAGGAGGGTTTATTTCTCTCCTTCCTTGAGTGTATGGCATGGAATGGAGTAGATGGAGCAGATCCACAGATGAGGGGCTGAGAGATGTGACCTGAACTGGACAGCAGAGGAGGATGCTGGCGACAGGGACTGGCAGAGGAGATAATGTCCCATAGGAAGAGCCCAGGGTGTCCAGACCTAGTGGTCCATAGGCAGCTTAAATCAAAGGAGACTGAGATGCTTGGAGGTGAGAATTTATGCTGATGGTGAGGCTTGAGAAGGCACCCAGATCTGGGGCTGTGAAGAGGGGGAAGAAATCAATATCTGGTTGCAGAGCTGAGCAGGCTCACTGCAAGGCCCCAGGAGGAAGGGTGTGGGCTTTTTACCAGGTTTTGCTAGCACTTTGCTTGGCAGCGGGGAGGTGAGGAGGGACTCCAGGGTGGCAGGGGTAGCCAGCACAGCTCAGGCTGCCAAGACGTGCTGCTGCTGCAGCTTGAGCCCATGAAGCTGTCTCTGCCGTTGGCCTCCAGCACAGGGATGCATGGAGAGCTGGGATGCTCCCAATCCCCTGTCTTCTCACTCGTGCCAAGCCTTCTGTCCTGGGACGTGCTCTTAGTGTCCCCCGGCTGTTTCACCCAGCGCCTGAGGCCAGGCCTGGTCCTAGCATCATGATTTTGCAATCAGAAAAGCAGCTCCTGCATTCCCAAACAGGGATTGTGCTCAAAACTCATTGCATCTGTTGCTTTGTTGCCAGCGGGACAGTCGGTCCTACAATAATATGGATAAGCACCAGTAGTGACAAGTAGCTGAGTGGCAGCTGCCTGGGCTCTTTCTTTTCTAAACCTGTCCCTCTTTTGCTTCCTCTTTAGGTGCCAGCGCCTGCCCGAGGGGAGGTGGCCGTGATGGCTGAGGGCAGAGAGCTCATCTTGGTGCTAGAGAGGAACCAGTAAGTGTCGGGGCTGGGGCTGCCTTTGTAGGCAGCGTGATGGGGAAGGGAATTCCTGGGGTTTTCCTTGCTGTTCCTGCTGTTTCACCCAGCACTGGGACGAGGGTTGCTTTAGGGCCTGGGAGAGCTGGCATTGCCCAGGGGGTGAGGAAAGGACAAGGGGTTAGCTCAGCTGCCAGGAGCTCTGGGTTTTGGCACCATGGGCAGCCCGGCATGGCTCCTGGCTGAATCAGTATTATCCTGGCTGTCTGTTTGGGCCCTGCCCTGGCTCTTCTGCCCTGCGGGGGAAGTAACAGCCCAGTGTGGCTTCCTGATAGCTGGAGCCAACGCAGCACTCTGTCATGCCAAGACAGGGCTGAAATGCTCACTTTTTTCCACCGCCTACAACCACCTCTCCCCCCGTCCCTCACCTACTCTTTCCTGCTGTGCAGCTTTTTGAGGTCATCGTGTCCTCTGTAATGAGCTTGTCCTGCCTCTGTCCCACCCTGCCAGCTCTGTTCCAACCGTTGCTTTATATGCTATCAGGTATCAGGGTTACTGTCCCATGCCTTGGTTGAACAGCTTTGCCCCAGAAGCCAGCCCACTCCCCTGCCCGCCTGTTGCCCTGTAGTGAAGTCCCTGTCCTCCTTCTGGCTGGCTCAATTTGGGGTGGCCATGGGCACAGCGGTGCTGAGACAGTGACCCCTCTCTATGTGAGGACAGACTGCACGTGGCCATCGAGAGACTTGGGCTGTTCCTTTGAGCCAGGAATCTGGATGATGAATTTCTTTAGGGGCGTTTCCCTCGGAAGGCAGCCCCAGCATGTTAGATATAGCTGGATGTCACGCAAGAAACAGCGTTGGCCACAGCCTTTGCATCAGTTCCTTGGTTTCTCTGTGTCCCTTCTCTTGTGTGGTATTGCGCTGTCGAGTTTGTTCGAGCACTGGCTGCTATTTCTCCCATCTCCTTGCCTTACCTTTGCCGTAAAACACTAGGACGTGGTGGTTAGCGTGTTGCTAATTACTGACAACGCTCTCCCAGATTCTGGGTGCTGGCTGAAGGCCAGGGCAATGCTGTTATGCAGGAACCAGTATGGGGGGAGATGGTGTTAAGTGTTTTAGGGGTGGAGATGGTGGGGACAAAGGCTCAGCAGGATGGGCAGGTGCTCTTGTGCTACTCTTATGCTGGATGAGCCATTGATTCCCCAGCTAGCAGCCTTGTGGTGTTGTCCCTTTGAGAGGACTGACCCTGTGGGGTCTTTGGAGATATCTCTTGATGGGTAATGTTGGCCTGATTCTGCTCCCACTTAGGCTAAGGGGATCTGAGAGGCCAGTGTGGCATGGGAAGCTCTCTGCTACTCTTCTGCTAGTCTGTTCTTGGTGGATAAGGCCATGCAAGGCAGGTTGCCTCTGGGGAAAGCCTGGCAACCCTGCTTGATGTCATGCTGTGCTCTTGTCAATGCTGAGCTCTGGCATTAGGAGGGCCAAGGGCCATCCTATCACATAGCTTTACTCTTGCCTTTCTGATCTGCTTTTGTGGCTCAGCCCAGAGGTACCGGCTAGTGCCAGCAGCATTGGTCCCCCATTAGGTGTGCTATCACACTTGTCCAGCCTGAAGGTCCCCTCATGCCCATACTGGCACAGTGTCACTTCTCTGCATTGCGTTCCCCAGCATTGGCTTGGCTTTTTGTCACACCTGCCTGAGCCATGTCACATCTGGCTGGGTCTCCTGCAGCACTGCATCTGGCTACGTCTGCCTCCTGAATTCAACCTGACTGTCCTGGGGAGCAAAAGGGGGTCTAGGTTGGAGGGCAGAGCCCTGTTCTTACCGGTGGTTGGGATCCCAGTCACCCATCTCAGTGTTTCTGAACTGCCCTGCTGGGCAGCAGGTCTCAGACCTGCAGAGGGCCTTTTTGTCTGTGGGGAAGGAGAATCTGGGACACTTTTAGGACTGTGAGCAATTGGGGAGGTGGTGGTAGGCTAAAAGCTAACGTGCAAAGCTTAGCCTTGTTTCTAACTGGTGCACCAAGTGCAGAAATATTTTAATTTCTTCTCATGACCATAATTCTGACCCTGCAAGAGGGTCTAAGCCACTAACAGCTGCAGTCTCGTTAATGGAATGACAATCTTCTGAGATCCCAGATCTTAGTGTCAGTTCTGGATACGGCTGGATTTCCACCAGCCATGCAACTCTGCCTCTGCTTGTAAATGCTAGCGCTTGGATGATGGCATAGCTGCTAATACTAGGATCTGGTGGTTTAGGGTTGGTGAGGATGGGAGATGGAGGATGGCTGTACCCCAGTCTTCCTAGCTCCTCCCTGGCGTAGCAGGGCATGCCGTTTGCAGGGAGAGGGAGATGTATGTGATGGAGGCTTGACTTCCTCCTGGCTTAGTTTATGGGCTGAAACTCTTGCTTTGGATCTCTTGGATCGCTCCCGGCTTTTATGACCCTCCTGTGCGCCTCTCGTTATCGTCAGGCCATAAAAGTTTGGAAGCTGAGCTAGCTGCTGTTTGCGGCTGTCTGGCTGTGTGGGGGGAGCTGAGCCCCAGCCAGCCGGAGACGGTGTTTGGTTTGCTGAAAAGTGCTGAACTCAGGAGAACTGGGGCGAGGAAATGGTCTGACTGGAAGCAGGGACCAGCCCTGGTGGGAGTGGGAATGGGCGCGTGTTTGATAGCAGAACTATGCGTGTGAACCCTGGAGAGGCGAGAGTGCACCTGGGAGCCTTAAAAGGGGCCTTGGTGCTGCTTCGCCCTCCCAAAGGGCAAAGAGCGTCTGTAAGGGGTGAAGAAAAGGGTTGACAAAAGGCTCAGTGTCTGCGATGTCTCTGCAGGGCTGGAGGAGTGCAAGGAGGCTGAGCAGGGCATGGCAGGAGGATGCTGAGCTCAGAGTGAGGGACGTATGGGAGGGATCTTCTGACAGCAGATGGGAGCTGAGCACTCAAGAGCATCCACAGCAGTAAAGACTGTCCATGGCACACAAGACCATCCACGCATACAAGTTGTGTCTGCTGGGGAGACCAAGGCAGCTGTGGCTGTCTGCACTACTGTCTTGTGGCAGCTAACAGGGCTGCGTTGGCCCTGCTAGCTCATGAGCAAGTGGTAGACCTCAAATCTCCTTTCCCCAGGGGATAGGAGAGAGGCTTGTCCTCCGAAAACCCATCCTCAGTGGTCTCTTCTAATAAGGCCTTTCCTTGTGCAGGAATAGGAGTCACATCTCCTCCCCTGCCCTTCCTTCCCTGAGGCTCTTGGTCCTTTGCCTGCCCTGGAGAAGACATCCCGGTGGTCTGAGCTGTGCTGGGACTCGCCATGCCCCCTGTTACGGGATTGGCTCAACCGTCCCTACTTCCCCCGTTTCCTGGCCACATTCATGAGATATTCACAGCTCTGCTGTCCTCGGCTGACGTGTCCCCATCTCGCATGGGCAGCCGCCCTTCCACCCCTGTGCTGGCCGGGCGGCTGTCTCGGTGGGTTGGCCAACAGCCTTTCAGCCCCGGGCACCTCTGTGTTTAACGGTGCAGATCTGGAGCAGCGCCTGGGGTGCCTCGCTGCAGGGCAGAGCGGCTTGGTGCCTGCTCTCTACTGCCAGGACCCAGTTTGAGCTCCTGTTTTATTTCCCTGGGGTAAATGGAGTTACTGGTGCCGGGCCACGGCTGGGCCAGCACCTGCTTGTGGGGCTGAGTGGGCAAAGGGCTGGTGGGCTTGGAAGCTGGGCAGGAGCCCATGAGGACAAACTGATTGCAAAATAGAAACCAAGAGGGGAGAGAGCCTGATGTTAGTCTGGGGGGCAGGTGCTTAGTTTTTTGTTTTTTTTTTTTCCTACCTTAGAATAAAATCACTGGAACGGGGCCAAAACCCATGTATCAAGGGCCAAACTGTCACCAGGTGTAAACCCAACCTTGCTCTGTTCTTCCCGTGGGATCTAACTACTTGATTGCGACTGGGGGCCTTGAGTCTGCAAAGAGCGATGTCTCGGGATGGCCAAGACACCTGTATGCATGCTCTGCTCTCCTTGTGGGTCCCAGCCGCAGGTCACAGCAGGGTGCCCATCATTGTGGCATCTGGGCACAGTAGTGCAGATGGATGGGACACGAGGAGTATCCTTGCTGCATCTCTTCTGGGGGTCCTATGGCCCCTACTGGGAGGGATATGAGTTCTAGTGGTAAGAAAGGGAGTTGGCAGCAATCACGCATCAGGCTGAGCTTCCCGGAGTGGATTTCCCCCAGACTTGGAGCTGCCTTAGCAGCATTCGGCATCCTGCTCTGAGGCAGCATGGGAAAAACCCTAGCCTCTTCTCTGCTCTCCCACCTCCAAGAGGGTTATTTCAGTCTAATTCCCCCCTGTTTTCTTGCCGGGACCCCCAGCCCCATGCACGCACAGTCACTGGATGCAAACAGTGCTCTGTCTCTTTGCGGTCTGTCTTGCTTTCTGATTTTCATTGCCTGTCCCAGCAGCAGGAAGCGATTTGTCAGTGCTGGGCCGGAGCTGTGTCGGTGGAAGGGCCCTGGGGCTGGCCTTGCTGAGAGATCGCCTGCAGCTGTGGGAAAACCACCCTGGCCAAAGCAAGCAGGGCGAAGGCAGGGGGGTGCAGATTTTGCTACAGGCAGCGGCCTGGGCCTGGTCTGCCTCAGAACCGACTCTTGTTTTTGGGGCCCCTGCCCTGTTGCTGTGGCATGCACTAGGAGCATTGTCCTCGTGGCACCCCTCTGTGTGGTGAGGGAGGCTAAGTGACATGCCCAAGGCTGGACGGGGTCGTGTGTCAGAGACTCCCAATTTCCCATGCCCTTGGCTGAAGTACTGAGCACAAGGCCGACCCTTTCTTCTCCAGGCAAGGCTCTTTGGCTTAGGGATTTAGGCTTAGTGTTGGATTCAAATGCTGCTGCTAAGTGGCAGTGTGCCATGGGGGCAGAGGGTCTTTGTGGCTAGTCCCTCTGGGGGGTTGGTCCTTTATGGAAAAGCCTTTACCAGCCCTGGCTGCTCATTCTCAGTGGTGGCAAGGTGTCCACCGGAGTCTGTGCCGTGTCTGGGCCCTCTGATGGCTGGCAGTGGGCAGTCGGGCTGCCTTCGTGCGGCTCTCCTCCCTGGCATCCTTGCCAAATCCTGCCTGGCCAGCAATGCTGCCCGAAGCTGTTGATAACCCAGGCAGCCCCTTCCTTGCTGAGATGCAAAGGAGGGGCCCAGCGTGGCCCTTCCCATGGCTGGAGGCATCTCCCCTTTCCCCTCAGCTGTTTGCTCTGTGGTGGATGCCCCAACCTCTGCCATCAGATCTGGGCCCACGCTGGGATCTCTGGAGCATTGTCTGAGTGTGGGCCAGAGAGCACCAGCACGTGGAGAGGATGCAGAAGGCGAAGGGGATTTTGGAAAGGACTGGGAGGTTGTGATTCATACCCTGTGTATGTCTCCTTGCTTGGGCCTGGGGCATTGGGGCCAAGTGGTGGGCCAAGTGCCAGTCCTCCTTGCAGCCCTGCTCCATTTAGGATTACCCAGGAGCAGAGGGGGCTGCAGTCCCTGCTTGCCAGCCTGGCCCCATCCCTGTCGGGCTACGGGCAATGGGGGGAGCGAGGAGAAAGAGGTTTGAGTTTGGCAGCCTTACATCTTGCAGCCCTGCTGCAGTGCACAGTGCTGACATAGGGAGAAATTGGGCAAGGGCAATGCTGCCAGTTATGGGCAACCCGTATGCACAGTAAAGGTGGAGGGCAGGTTTCCCCTGCCTCCGTTTCCCTTTCCTTGAGACCAGCCTCCTGCCTCGATGCCCGCATCCAAGCAGGAGCGAGCTGGCGCGGGTGCGAGTGCGCCGGTGCGCTATGTGGCATGAACGGTGCGTGCTCTTTCGCCCCGATTAGGAGGGGGCTGTCGGCAGGGCGGCTGTCCTCCCAGCTCCGTGCACCCACTGGTGGGGGCCCCAGCGCTGACGCAGCGCTGGCAGCCAAACTGCCGGCTCCGCTTTCCTGGAGGAGGGACGCTTCGGCACCTGCTTGGCCGGGAAGCTCTGCGGTCTGCGAGGAACGCCTGCGAGGGGGGCAGCAAAGGGGGACTGTGCGTTCAGCCCGACCTGGCATCGCAGTGGCTGGGGAAGGTGAGGGGAGATGCCCTAGCAGGAGGGATGGTGCCAGCGCTTCCTTGGGATGCATGCTGGGTTGGCATGTCCGTCATCCTTGCAGATATCGCCCCTGGAGCGCTGGGGCACTGCAGGGCCCTCCTGGAGCATCGTTGCCCGTTGCCCATGGTACAGAGGCTTGTATGGCCCCACATCTCCCCAGCCACCAGTCCTCAGCCCTCTACCAGGAGCAGCCTGGGCGACCCTCACCCCTCTCTCTCTCTGCAGGCTCCTGTCACCAGACTACACTGAGACACACTATGCTGAGGATGGACAGCCCGTGACAGTGGCTCCTAACTACACGGTGGGTGCCAGGGGAGGGTGGCATCGGGCAATGCTGGGGCAGCGTTCGCCCCGTACATTGTGTTCCCTGCTACTGAAACCTGACTGTTGAAGCCTTTCCTTCCTCTGCAGCGCGTTTGTCACTTCCTCCTCTGTGGGGCACAGAGGCAGCCGCGTGTCTAGCATCTCCTGTCCTCAGAAGGAGGAAAGTGACATTTTTTGCCTTGGCTGCCCCTCTTGTTTCTGGTGATGGGCAGAGATGCTTAGGGAGGTAGTATTGCCCGGCGGTTAGAGAGCCAGTGCACTGGACACATGAGCTGTGTGTTCACTTAGGGGTGTCATCTCAGGAGGTGTAAATCAGGAGAGCTCCACCAAAATCATTGCAAGTCTGCCGGTTTACACCTCTGGTTCCTCCTCTTCCACCTTCAGAGGTCTATCACACGAGTGTTTCGAGTTGGCTGAGTTGCCTCATGGGAGCAAGGGTGCTCAGAGAAGGTAGGCATCTCACTGGGGAGCCCAGCTTTTATCCCCTGCTCTAATCCAGCAAGTCTCATAGGTCCAAGCTCTCTCAAGACCCAGATTTGTTACCAAGCTGACAGGCACCAAACAGACCCTACCAATGCAGAGCCTGGGCTTGCTTGGTGCAGCAGTGTGAGCTCAGACCCAGCTCGGCAGAACTAGTCAGCCTCTTGGGACTTTCGGAGCATAACTCGCCTCTGCCTCATGCCAAAGCAGCCTGAGGCTTACTGGAAAGGCAGAGACGCCCCGTTTCCTGGGGCAGGCTGGCGCTCAGATGCACTGCAGCTGCAGGGTTGCTGCTGTGAGGCAGGAGGGGGGATGGCTGGGCTGACATGGCAGGATCTTGCGGTGGTTCTGTGGTTTCCCTAGGGAGGAAGAAGAGGAGGGACTTGCTTGTCCTCCGGTGTCTGCCTTCTTACGAAGGTGCTATATTAGGTGATGCTGGAGGCACTTTTCCCTTTATTTTACGTCTGGCTCCAAAAGCCACTGATCAGTGGTAATTATAGCTGCTTTTTACAAGTAGACCATCTTCTCGGTACTCAGCACCACATGCTCCTCCTTTTGCTAAGGCTGGGGCAGCTCAGCTTGCCTCAAGTCCTCACTAGAAACCGCACTTCAGCATCACTGTAACAGAAACTTTAAGCATGTGGCAAAGTCTGCCGCCACTGGGGCTAGTTTGGTGGCAGCAGGGGGTCCCAGGTGTTCTGGCAGCCAGGCTCTTGCTTTCACCTCTGCACAGGGTGATGGCTGTAGGGGAGGGCTGACAGTCAGGATCCTAGAAACCTACAAGTGGCCCAGACCTGTGTCTCAGCCCTTCTTTGCCTGCAGGTTTTTGGGCCACAGACATGGGCAGACCAAGGTCTGCTGGACGCGGCTTATGTTTTCTGCAGCAGCAAGAGGGGCCCTATCCCGCCGTGTTGCAACACCTTGTCCCCTCAGTGGCGTCAGAGAGGCTGTGTGTCAAACCCACGCTGTAAAATGATCCAGGCTGAAGACAAAACCTCACCAGGAGGGGGGTGACATGTTTTCCCTGGCAGCATCCCCGACGCATGCCGCGAGCAGCAGGA